CGTGCCTTTTAAAAAGGCGGGCGGGACGCGGGAAAATGCATTGGAAGGCGGGTGTGTCCTGCCAAAAGCGGGACGTCTGGTCACCTTATGCTTATGCTTGGTGAGCCCACCTCCAGCACTCTCCCCAGCCATGGTCAACAGGTGTTCCTGCGCTGCCTTCTTCTTCTGGGCAATTCACTGAAAGATGATTATCCCGAGGAGGGGCGGGCAGCATGGCCTAGTTGGCCTCCTGTACCACAGCAATGGGGGTGTTTTTGCCCTCCACGGGCTCCGGAGGCTTTCCTTGAGCCTCCAGGAAGTCGAAAACGCCCTCCCCAGACTCCTGAGGCTCTTTGGAGGCCAGAAACGGGTCTGTTTCCAGCCTTCCCGAACTTCCAGTAGGCCCATTTTTTGCCCTCTCCAAGCCTCTGTGCCTGCCCTGCACCTACCTGCATTCAAAACAGGGGAGGGACTCCAGGGAGGAGAGGGGCGGGTGGGGTCACCCAGGAGTGGGATTTGGGGATTCTCCGAACTGCACAGAATCTTAGCTAGAGGTTCTCCCGAACCCCCAGAAGCCCAGCCCTGGGTGGATTTCAACTCCCAGAATTCCCCAGCCAGCATGCTTTAAGTTGGGTGGCCTGCCTTCCATCTTATGAACTACTTCATTCTTTCAGTAACATGCCCATCCACCAGTAGCAGTCAGTGATTTTCTATCTACATGATAGGCATTTCCATGTTCTAAAACAAACCTTTTTTTTTTGTCCTAAAGACTGGAAATGCTGAGCGCATTGAATTTCAGTATGCAAAGCAGATGCCTTACCTTCAGTGAATGCCCTTCTTTTAGCGGTTACGAAGTGCCGGGTTTGATATATAAAAGTAATTCTGTGAATGAATAGAGAGGTTTCTGGCTTTAAGAAAGCTGATAAAGCATATGTTTGCATTTGTGTGTATGTGTGTCATAGAGATTGGGAAGAAATAGCAATGATTGCACTTGAAAGAAATGAAAGGGTGCAGAAAAGGCGAAGCACACGTCAGGAGAATAGGCTAAATTTCAGGCAGAAATAATTGCAGATTTCCCAGTAAGCTTTCTATCTGAATTGTTGGATATATCATTCCTGCTCACCAAATTGTTTCCTCAATGTTGCAGAATATGGGAGGAATCATCTGGTCTGCTATTTTCCTTCTGTTTTCTGCTGCTGTTAGATACATAGCAGCTGAATAACTAAGGGCTATTCTCTTTGGGACTGTCCATGCTCATTACACACAGTATTGTACCAGTAGTTCTGGAAAGTCTCTTCCTTTTGATAGGTACGCTTACAGCATGTAGAGATACATGAATTATATATTATGTACATTATAGCATTTCCTGCTTTCCTCTCTTCCTCTTTTTTTCCGCCTTTTGGGTGTTTGCTGATATTAATAAATAAGCATCAGGCATCATATTTTGCTAGCTGTGCCGCATGTATGCTTACTCTGGTCTGGATATAGGAATTGACTGGGACAGCTATGGGTGCAAGCTAAAGGGCCTTATCCACAGTAATTTTTCAACATGCATTATATTACATTAGAAAAGCGCTGTATGGGTTTGATTCAGGGAAAAGGACTGAGTAAGTTTGAGAAAGAATCTTATCACTTTGCTAACTTTCTTTTAAGAGCTAGGAAACTCCAGAAATGTTACAGTCCTCCTATTTAAAACAAACATTCTAATACAGTAACTCAGATATGGAAAGTGGATGGGATGTCACAGTAGAACAAAATAAGCAAATGAAAGATTGTGGAGATTGAGGCCCTTTCCTCATATCCCTTAAACAGAGCATTGGGCAGAGATGAGGATATTGCCACTTAGTATCTAGGTCTTAAACAATTTCAGAGTGGTTGTGGGTAGAAAACAATTCCTTTTCTGCTCTTTTTGTCATAAAGATTGTTCCCAGTTCATCTCAAATCCATGTGTTTTTCAGACTCAAGTTAATGGTCATGATTATTTTGTAGCCCACCACTTTTCAACCATTCTGCTGACCCCCTGTTCTAAGTAATCACCTCCATTCTCCTTCTCTCCAATTTCCCATAGGTGGCAGAGCTGGAAGCCCAGGGGGGCCACAATTCCTCAAGCGATGTCAGGAAAGAGACCTGCCCAGCTTTAGAAGAGCTGGAACAGTTGGTGAAGGCCAAAGATGAGGTCAGTAGCTGCATCCCAGGTCTCTTAAGATGCCAATCTAGAGCAGAGCTTATGAATTCAGAAGTCCACAATTAAAAACAAGAAGAGAGAATCTGTGGGTGGTTTTATTATATAAGTAATTCTCTGGTAAAGGAGAATAGTTGTGGCTCAGGGTTGACATGAGGGGTCCTTGGTCACTTGTTTTCTTGCAGACGTTTCATTACCAGGTTACATAATATCATCCATGCTATCATCACTAGCACTGATAATGTTACCTAGTTAGGGTAATGAAACGTCTGCAAGCCCAGAGAGCATCAAGGGCCCCTCAATTCTCTGTATCTCATTCTGCAAGATTAGATTAGTAATAACACTCTATTTGCTGATTGAGAAAAATTACTTGGGCTGTGTTTGCCAGTCTGATTGCGAGGGTTAAATTCAAAAGTGCTGGTAATAACCTATAAAACTATACAAGGCATGGAGGTGGGTTATTTGTGAGTCTGCCTCTGTGGTTTAGTTTAGTTTAGTTTTGGTTTATTT